GCATGCCATTGTTTCAGTCTTTAATTAATTCACCTTCTCCATTCAGCTCTGTTGCCTGCCACATATTGTTTCTTCTTGACATTCATCTCTAAGACAAAAGATTAGCTTACATAAAATGTACGCTTGTTTTGTTTGTGTGTCACATTCAGAATAAAGCATACTATTTGCATGCTTTAGAACAACAGTTTGGGTCCTTCCCTTGGATTGGATTTGAATTTTAGTGGAGCAGTATTTGCTGTTGCTTCTTTCAAATGAGTCTCTGAGTGAACTGAACAGTGTTTCAGTTTCTGAATAGTCTGTCAAAAATGAAAGGTGCTGGTCATGCTTAATTTTAATTCCATATTTTTTTTAAAAAAAATCAAACCCAAAGGCTACCACTTTTTCCCATTCAGAAAAAAATGGAATAAGACACCCTTTTTTGGGTGAGAAGATTTTCTTGTCTGAAGATTAGGATTTACAATAAAATCAAGGAATTGCTGAGCTGTCTCTGCCTTTACTTCTCTGAGCCAGATTTGAGAACTAACAACTAGAAAGGAGCCCTCACAAGGAACAAATTGGGGCCTGAACCTGTGGCCAGAATCCAAGATACTTCCTATTTATTTATTTTCCAAGGGCATCCCTTAAATCAATGGCCCCCAACCAGGGACGGGTTCCGTGGAAAGAGGTTTTTCCTTGGACTGAAGGGGGCGTAGTTTCGTGTGCTGCCTGCATCCCTCAGATGGGGCTTCACTTGTTTACGTGGCCCGGTTTCTGGCAAGTTGCGGACCACTATCAGTCCATGGACCAGGGGTTGGGGACCTTTGCCTTAAATTCTGTCAGATTCCTCTCCAGCAAGTCTCTTGATCTTCAAGATCAACTTTTGGCTGTGGGAGGAGGCCCTGAGAGATTTTTCATGTATGGGAAGCCCATGCGGTCTTGAATGGGTCCGATTATCATTTTTTTTAACTTTCAGGTGCTTCCTGTATTAGCAAAGGACCTAAGAGAGATCACTGGTGATTCTGAAACAGTTGCCAGCCCTCTCCTCTGTCTCTCTCAAAGTTCCACTGTGGATTTTCTTCAGCCTGTTAAAATTCAGCTTCCACTGCCTCCTGGTGTCACAGGTTAGTTTGCCAGGTTTTTTTTTGGGGGGGGAGTTTTCATGGGATGGGAATATTTCTTTAAAATATGCAGCTTTCTGAATTTCAAGAGCAGTTCAATCCCTTGGTACAGTTAAATACAATTTTGAGACAATTTATCTTCTATGGAGGAAATTAGGTTGTTGTTATGGATAGGCATTGCAAAAGTTTAGGGCAGTTTAGCTCTATCCTCCAGAACATTCATTGTTTACATTCGGTCAAACTATCATAGTCCTTTCCAAATGTTATCTGTCCCATCTATGACATCAGCCAACCTCCATCCCCTCTGATGCAGTTATAAACTGAAAAGAGTTCAACCTTTAAGTTTATGGCCAACATCTTTTTATTTTCCCCCCTCAGGTCTAACCTTGGATCGTTCCAGAGTACATTTGTTGCACAGTGACTGGGATGCTCAGAACTGGAGTGACATCACCGATCAAGTGATACTGGAGTTTACCCACCTCTATGCCTTATTTGAAGTAACACACTTCTCTTGGTTAGTGGGCCAGGAGTCGTAATCTTATTCTCAGTAGCACTTAAGTGGTTGTGGACTCTGTGGCTAGGGCTCATTTGAGCCAGCAGCTTTCTTTCTATGGCAAGCAGCAAATGTTCTCAGCTGGCCTTTCCCTCATATTTACAACAGAATTGATATGCATTTGGAGCATTTTCCTTGACCATTAGAGCTGAAGCTCTGCTTACACAGTTGTTTTGCAAAACAACTTGGACAGCCATCTGTCAGACATGCTATAAACTAGAGTCTCCTACGTGAGCAGGGGGTTGGAGTAGAAGACCTCCAAGGTCCATTCCAATTCTGTTATTCTGCTAAGTGATGGGAAACGAGCTGTTCCCACATTTTGCTGAGATTGCTTTTCTTCTTTAGGATGCTTGAAAAGTCATGACATGGTGGACACCAAGCAATCCAGAGAGCCTTCCTTATGCATAGTCTCATTATCTGCAGATCCTAAGGAGAGACCAGTCCTCAATCTAATACAAAGATTTTTCAGATCGGAAATTTAGACTTTATTTTTGTTACTTTATGCATGTAATGGCACATGAGTTTTGGTATACGTGTAATGCACATTTTAAAGATGTAGGCTAGAATACCTGCTGTATATTTGTTCCTCCTCCTGGACCACATTTTTCTGGGTCAGCCAGCCTGGGGAGCATGGCTTCACATGGCTTCTTCAGAGCAGCCGGCTTTCTTTGACTTGCTTAGCTCTGATGGAGGGAGTCACCCAATGTGCATCCATGTGGCTCAAGAGGATTTCTCCTCTCTCCCCATAGTCAAAGTTTCTTGAGCCTGCTACTGAATGCTCACACAGACTCCAGAACTCCTGTCCTCTTCTTGTTCACTGGAGCAGCACCAGCTATGATTGCCAGCACTATGGTTGGAAGCTTTGTGGAGACACAAAAGGCAGCTGTGTGACTTTGAGCTGGTCATTCTCACTCAACCCAACTGCTCTTAGAGTTGTTGTGGAGAAAAAGAGGAAGAGGAAAGAGTATTATGTTTGTTCCCTACCATGAGTTATTTATAAAGTAAAAAAATAATAAAATCTAATAAATATTTTATTTCAATATAAGAATCAGACTACTAGTGGGGTTTTTCCCATTAATGAAGCAATTATGTAGCCCTCATGCACTCATATTTCCCAGTGGTTGACTTTATCAGAGTAAACCTGAATCAATTCAAATCATTTTACAAATCTCCCTTTCCCTCCAGGTATTGGTTATGGTGCACCACAAAGGCCTACATTGGTGGCTTTGCTAAAGAAGTCTATAAAAGATTGCGCAT